TTTCTTCTTTTTTTTTTTTTTCGAAACACTTTTCACATACATCTATTTACCCGTAAGACATCAAAAGTTCCTGATCTAGATCCAGGGATTCTTGCTTATCCGAAAAGTACCTCCCGGTAGATTCAAACAGTCCGGTAGTTCGACAGTCCAAGTTTTCATTACCCTCGGGGCAATGTGGGGGCTGCAAATAACTGCGGGGAACCGCGTGTTTACGCTGTCTGCAGCTTGTTAATTGGAGTTGTCATATTGCTGGTGCTCCAATTAGTTCCCCGTCATCGTTGTAAGTATACGTAACGAAAATGCACGTCTAGTTAACTGGCATAAATTTGGACTCCGGTATCACGCCGGTGCAAATTTAACTGGCGAAATCAATGGCGAATAACTCCGATACATTTACCGGAATGCGGTGAAATTGCGCTTGCCTTGAATACACGATCAAATTCAACCAGACTTAGCGGTATTCTTCCATTCTCGGCATGAAAAATTTAAAAGTCTTACGGGCCTCACGATTTCCACATTCGAGCATGAAATCCATCGTGTGTATACGCTATTTCCAATATATAATATTTGAGGCGTAGAGATCGTCCAACTATCTTAATTGCTTCGTTGCTTTTAATTAACGTTTTTAATTAAACCAATTAGTTGCGAGAGATGGAGATGGATCAGATTACCTTGAATTAATTCAGCACGAGCACTGTCTGAGTTATATGTAAGTCTTTGTTATTGTGGCACGTCGCACTTGTTATTAAAATTTCGTTGTTGATGCTCGATGTCTTATTTATTAAAATAGATTTATTAAATACACAGAATTATATAAATACTAATTTTGAAAATTATAATATATACAATCATTGCTCATTATTATTCCTATTATTAAAGCTGCATGTTATTAAAATAGCTTTTGTTTAGATACTTCATCGTACAAAAATCAATTAATTCATAAATTCAACAAAGTTTTCAAGTTTTCAAATATAAATAAAATTATTGTTATTTTTATATACCTACTGAAAATATTATTAAAATGTTTACTTCAAATTAGATTACCTTTGACCTTTTTAAGTCAGTCTGTAAGAAAAACGAAATTATCTTGAAATTTCAAGAATTCACGATATAAGTAGAATTATTACATCGCGATGCACTATAAAAGCGGTGCGCTATAAATGTTTTTCCACCTGTAACGACACACTGATTAAACATTTATCTCTCGTGATAAATTGAATAGCATCGGGTATTCTGAAATCTCATGAATTTGAAATTTTGAACAAACGAAATGGTGCTTTGAGAGAAATGAACTCGTTAGCGGTCTGACATTCGAGCATATTCTGCGTGATTGCGCGTGTATCGACTAAGGGACGCACCAAAGGCACGTGACATATGTGTTCGCCATATATGACCTACGTGTTCTATATATAGAGCGGTAGGTGCCTTCGCCGACCGTATGTGCCTGGATGAGTTTACCACGTAAAACCACGTCGGCCTTTTTTCCCCATTTCTCGTATCGAACGCTTTCAGCTCGACGCTCGCGACTCGCGACCCGGCCAAAGTCGATCGCGTCACGGGATAATAATGCATTCTCCGGGAACAAACGTTCGCGAGACCCGACGAAGCGGAAAGGGCTCTAAATGGCATTGCGACTATAGTAGTCGACAAATTGAGGAGCTGAGAAAAATATCGATCAGAGATTGTAAAGTGCAACGCGAAGGTCAAGCGGCAAGTTAAAATGCAACAAACGCTATTGTTGGATTATTATACACCATGCGCATGCATTGAAAGAAACGATTTCATTGAAGTGTGTAAAAATTTAGCGAGATACAGATTCGAAAATAATTCTATTGGAATTTATCAAAATATGTAGAACGCTTAAGCATGTTGAGTAAAAGATTTAACATTCTGGCAACCAGCTTGAGTGTCCTAATTATTTTGATTCAGTTCTAAGACTCAATTCCAATGTAAGATTAACTTTAATCTCGGTTAAATTTATTCTTTATTTTTTCTAATTTTAAGAATTTAGAAAAATCAAGAATTAGAAAAAAAGATAAACAATAAGCGAAACCGAGATTAAAATTAATCTTACATTAGTGGAACAGGATTAACAAAATTATTTTAAGGTTTGTATCTGGCTATATGTATAAACTGTTAGATACTTTAGCAAAACTATTCTTTTCGTGTGCATACAATGGAAGGATTTGTAGATTGAAAATACGTCAGCATGAAAACTGTTTTTGTAATTGAGTTTTACTCGATTACTAAAAGCAGCTTTTGTGCTTAAGAGGGAAACAAGACTATTTGTTCCGTTTTTTAACATTTAATTTAGGAAAAACTCTTTCACATGCGAATTTCAATTGTTTGAATTACATTTTAATTAATTTCTCTTCTATGAAAAAATATTATCGTTTTATAGTTTTTTTACATGCTCGTAAAAAAATAGAAATAAACATACAAGGAAAATTAGAGTCATAAAGAATTATTTAATGATATTTAATGAGAGTTTGTTAATGATATATTTTTGCTCGTGGAATGATATCAGTCCCGGAAAGAATATTGCGTTTTACTTTGAGTTATTGGAAAAAGAAATAGATGAGCACTAAAAATATCATATGTTTTTCTCCTAAAGCAGTTTATTATTTCTGTGTGCGTTACAGGCTTTCCATTAAACTGATGAGAGCGGCGCCTAATTAATTTCAGAACTGTTACTAACATACATTGCGCCAATTATTATCTCATCTTGTCATTATTCATAGTAACTGAAATGTGACATTTATAGGTTTTCTATATTCGTTTTATGTATGTTCATTTTGCTATTAATGTGAATGATTTTAAACTAATGACTTTTTTCTGTTCTTTTTACTTATTCATATCTAGATACTATTGTTCGCTCTGCAAATGTTGAAGGAAATATTAGGAATAAATATTAAATATTAGAGAAATAAAAAAATTATTAGGAATAGAGGTAAATGTGTCACACAATCTATACAAACAAGACGTATTAGATACGTAGACTGCTGAAAAAGTTTCTGCAAACGATATGAAAAGAAAAAAACATGTAAAATTCGGTAAATGGTTTTATTTTTATCGAATTTTACATGTTTTTTTTTTCATATCGTTTACAGAAACTTTTCCAGCAGCCTACGTATGATTTATTTATATCTACTTTACGTTTGACCTTTATGCCTATTTTATAATTTTTATTTAATATTTATTTCTGTTTCTAGTATTTTTTGCCTAAACTTTTCTGTAATATTTTGTAATGTGTGAGTAATAAATTTTACCCCTGATTCGCACGCTAAAGTATATAGTTATAATATTATTAGCGATAACGGTCATCACGACACTAAACGATACTATATCTCCCGATTATTGTCTCCAGATATGTAGATGTAATCAGCCCTACTATTTTTATTACTAACGATGTTTCGCTGTAAAACCGCCAATATTACCGCAGAACGAAGTAACGGTGGCAATTGCGTTTTTACATTCGCCGTTACGACATCGAACGTCACCATCGGACGAAATTTTATAACGCAAAAATTAGCACCATCGTGACCGGTAATGTATATATAGCGACATTCATTAATGCCCCGACATAGAGGATCCTTGAAACTCGATGACTTGCCGCGAAACGTGCGGCAGCATATTATTTTGTAATCTAACTATCACAGTTGTTGGTGACTGGTGTGTGTTGCGCGAGGAAATAATTTAAGATCCTTGTGGTGGAAGCGGGAGGTACGGGACGTGCGTGTGGGCGACCTGGGTGACCATTGCTGTGCGATGTCATGTTTCGTGGTAACAACTGGATAATAATTGTTTGTCTGATATGTCGAGAAGGAGAGTGAGGTGTGTATATTTTATGAGTTCCTTTTTATTCGTGATTAACATCAGAACCGTCAATGGTGCCATTTTAGCTCTACTATATCATTTCAATTTTATTATTATTATTATTATTTTATATTAAATATACAGTACGAAGTATTGAAGTTATTTTTATGTAATACATGCAAATATAATTCTAGTAGAGTTCTAATAATAAAAATTCTAATAATATAAATATATAAATATTAAAAAAATTTTCATTAAGGGGATAGGAGAAATTATCAAATTGACAGCTCGACAATTCTAGTGAGACATCGTCAGCGATTCTAACGTTAACTCAAGAGTAGCCGCTCGTGAACTTTCGTAAGAATCATTAACGGGAACGATCGAACACCAGTTTCTATTGATCCATGGCGATCGCCGTTGGCGATCTCGTTAGCTCGTGTACAGATTAAAGTGGAACGCGCGTTTGAGAAGTTGTTTACATTTGATTGAAGCGTAATTAAACGAAACAAGTAGAGATATACGGCGCTGTTCGCCCTCCGAATATTAATAGCGGTGCTTCGAGCGTGCAAAATGTGACCTTTTAGGTAGGGTGTTCAGGGTGACAGCAAAACGTGCCCATTTGATATTATCTGAATATTCTCGAATTTCATTATCTGATCGTTTAATTCGAAGCTTATTTTGAAGCTAGATATCTCTCCACTCACGAAATGATCCTATCAATCCCAATTACGCGAAATGCTCCTGTCAATTCTATCTGCTATTTGATGTTCCATGTATTTTTGGAACCCATATTTCTCAACATACACTGAAAACAAAATTACTGCTAAACAAATGAAATTATTGATATTTGAATTTAAATATATTTGATAAACGAACCGGAAGCGAAACTAGCGCAAAATACGTAACAATTACGTATTATATCGTATATTGTGCTTTATTAATTTATTTATTCGCCAATGAAACCGTCAAACGACGTTGTTAATAAAAGAGCACGGTGCAAAATCGTTTGAAATTACCTCCAGATAATCGGTCGAAATTGTGTGTCTCGGAATTGAAATGAATTTTTTCGAGTTTTTTCGACGGATAAATTCCCGCAAATGTGTCAGTTACACCGTGCTCTTCAATTTCATTTGATACCTTATTGACACCGTGACAGGTGTCAATTTGCCAAGTGAGAGACCGACCTTTTTCTCAGTATACAATAACGGGGTTCGGCTGGCCCGGTCGATCGCGCACTCGCTCGCCGAACACCTACGATACCGTTTCTTCTGGCGATCGATGACAATCCTGACCGGTGTCGGCCGTTCGTTCGTTCGTTCGTTCGTTCGTTCGCCCTTCCTCCCGTCTAGAGACCACCGCGACGGCGACGGTGAACGACGTCGTCGCGCACGGGGAGGCCGCACGTCGACGACGGTCCCGCTCTTCGCGTCGGGCGAATCTCCCCGGTCCGTCCTTAGTACCGTTTCGCCGGAGACTATCGGCGGCGGCGGTCATGGCACGCGCGTTGCTTGGCTACGCCACGCGATTCGCGGCTAGGCACGGCATTTAGGTATAGTTCACGTGTGCTGGAGGCACGAGCAGCAACGACGCCGTCGCCACCACCGCCGCCGTCGCTCCCACCATCCTCGTTGACTTCGTCGTCTCTGTCGCGTCACGCTCCCTCGACCAACCCTTCGCTCGATTCATAACCCACCCTCGCTGCCGCCTCTCTTTAGCCACCATCCTCGCAGAAAGAGAAAGAGAGATAGGGAAGAAGGCTTTACACACACACCATCTTTGTACCGGCTAGGCGGTAATGTTAAACTACCCGCTCGCCTAATCGCGCTAGGGTGAATTTCGGCCAACTGGCTGCGCGCAACGTGGTTTGGTGTGGCGTGCTGTGGTGTCTGATCGCCAGTCTCTCGCTGCGGCCCGATGTCGCCACATAGGTATCACGATGGTATAGTATTTCATCTGAGCAAAGTGTCGTGTCGAAGTTTCGATCGGATCTCTGCGAAATTAGCTTCTTGATGTGGAAATTGATGGATCCGTGTGTGTACGTCGGCGGTGTGCGTCGTTTAAGTTCTTTGCGTCGTCGATCAAACTCTGTTTACGGAAAGTAAAGTCTGTAACATGAGAAGAAATCGAATTGCAAAAAATTAAAATTGCATCTCTGTTGATGCAATTTTTCAGTCGTTTAAACTGCAGTTTTTACAATAAGTTTTTATTATAAATAATAGAATTACATTTTGTTTTCAATTCAGCGAAATGTAAAATTAAATATCATTTGCAATCTTTTGTTTTAAAATGTGGAATTACATATTATTTTATGAACTACTGCGGTGGTTGTTAATATAATTTCTATTAGTCAGGGTTGATATTTTAAACAAAAGGCAAAGTTTTTACAGTATATTTTATCTTTCTAAATACACTTCATGCATGATGAATTATTTGACCAATCGTGGTCTAGATTTCTCATTTGATATCGAATAATCTGCCACTGCCTGCAATCGATTTTTTCGGGTTGTGTACTGTTCTATTTCGCTTAGCCGCCTTGGCTTCGTGCATGAATGTCATTAGAGCTAGCTGAATGCAAAACACGTCAGGTATGCACGAAGAATGAAAAATAACGGCGCACGAAAACGCTGCGGTCGGTGTTGTTTTTCCCACAACTGCCATAACTCGACGTTAGGGTCTTGATTACAGTGGAATAAATTAGCATAGGATATTATGATTCATTTGCGAGGCGGCGGGATCGAAACTCAAAGTGCCTATTCTCGGAGTATAAGCGCCGAGAGGTGCCAAGTGTTGTTTGTGTAGTAATCAGAACGCACGCTCCGTCTAGACTGCGGTACATTTCGAGAGGCGAACGAGCTAAGCTTAGATCTTGCCTAGGCGTCCAGGGTGTATTTCTGTACAATTCGACAGGTGGCCCTTAGGCTCATCGCGATAAGTAGCGACACTTGATGACGTTCATTCCTCTTTACGACGTGACGACGAGAGTGAGTCTAAAAAAAAACGTTGTCCTCAATTGGTAGATTTTTTATTTTTGAAATATTTTGGATCACGCGTTTTTCTACATAAGAAGAGATACCGAACGACTGATCTTATCAATAATAACACTAGTTTACGAGGTTTTGTGTTAGAGTATACGAAGACTGTTTCTAAGATAACCTTTGACACTAAGCCCGAATCTGCCATTGAAATATTTCCATCAGTCCTGGTTTTTAAGATACAAGAAGACATATTTTCCAGTGAAGTTATATGTATTAAAATTACAAGATAAATTAGAATTGCTGAGCGTTTAATTTTTGTTTTTATTTGGCTCGATTTCACGTATTAAAGTTTAGCAATAGTCGTCTAGCATATTTTCATGTCTGATAACATTTCTCAATATCATCCAATTCCGGTGGGAACGTTTCTAATCCTAATGGAATTTTTCTGGTTGCACAGATTCGAATTTAGCGCTTTAAAAAGTTTGAAAAAGTTGTTTCCTTTCCTTCACATTACAAATTAATAATTATACATCATTTGTAAAACATTAAAAATGGATTATTTATTGTGAATATGGTATATATTTGTTTAATAATTTATTTAATAATTTACACAAACAATAACCTATTATTTGTTGCATTGTACAATATTATTATACGTAATTAATGTGAACTTTTTTAATGTTGCTTACAAACAACAATTAATTCCTATTAATGGTGTATTTGCAATTTAATTTTGTCTGTCGCCGGAAATATTACGAGATATTTCATGTCCACGCGAATTTTCCTCGCTGTATTTACATTGGTGATAAATCGAACTACATCTGTCGGATGCATTTCGAGAGATCAGATCGCGAGAGATGAAGATTTGCTCGATTTTCTGATGGAAATGTTACGTAATATCGTATAGACGACGCCTGGCAAAGGTCCATAAATCCTTGTGGAATCATAAAGCGGAAGAGATGCTTTTACGCGCGCGCATTTACGTTCGAAAACACTTTCGCCATGGTTTCTCTTCGTTTTCTGTCGGTTCGACGAGAAGAAGAAGGACAGAGGAACAACGTGTTTCCCTTGTGCTAGGAGAATCGCCGGAAGTACGCTGGAAACGCGTTTCCTTTCGGTCGTTCGCTGTCTAATCTCAAGATGTATACGTGTCTTTATGCGAACGTGCTTTTCACGTAAATCACGTTCTTATCTCTTGCGTGTCACCATCTGGGGATGCTCGCGGTTAAAACGCGCATCTATATCTTCTTGTTACGCGTTTAATAGTAAATGCGACCGTTTTATCTTCGTGTCACAATCAAAGAAGGAAGTGCGAAAAGATAAAACGTAAAAAAGAGACAATCTCTGAATGGAGGTAAGAACGCGTGCCTGTGATTTACATTTAATTTTTAAATAGCCAGGTGGAATGGCTACAATATGATTTTATAGTTTTCTTTAAAGAGGAAACTAAAAAGTATCGTTTAGAAGAAATCTTTTACTTCATTATTTGCACTATCTTATAACATAAATTTAACAATTATTAGTGAAAAATATAACTACAAAATTAAAGTTGGTTTTAAGTTTTCTAAACCACCTATCTATTTAAAGATTAATGTCGAACTTTTATCCGGTGTCAAACCTCGTTGAAACGAGAAACGTCAAGCGGTTGCATTTAGTACTGAAAATAAAGGTAACGGATCCCGCATTTATTGGTAATCTTGTTCGCCGGTTTATTGAAATTCGAAATGATAGCGATAAACGATCTGCAGACACGAGGGACATCGTCACCGTTGTCCCGGTTGACGCTATACGTTCGTGACTATCTGCAACCACATCCGTATGATATTTATTTCGGTTTATTTGCAGACTCGTCAGAATGGTGGGTAGCATGCCCAGCGGATGGATGAGGAGGATTCTCCTCTTCCTCGTCCTGATGACCGGTGTCCTGCTAATCGCCATGTACGCTCATGCTCCGCCGCTCGCATCGCTCCAGCCGTTCGCGACGAGACGGTAAGTTTTTCTTTTTATTGTAGTCACATTTGCCTTTCAAAATTCGGCAAGTAAAACACGCGGTAATATTTTTTGAGATCCGTTGAGTAAGACGAACTGGAAACTGTAGTTGTCAAATATTAATTGAAAAAAGCCAGCAGTCTTTTTGAACTCCGTTCTATTTCAAGTTTTTTATTCTGATTTGAATTCACACAATTTTTTATAAGAAGACAAATATCTCTGATTATTGTAAGACAAATCTTTGCGAAACGCGCAAAATCGCTTTTTTTTTTTTTCTTTTAATTTCTATATTTCTGTGTTTTCTGTTAACACACAGCCAGCGCAGGTTCGTTTGCCCGCGTTGTGTATTAATCCAGTGCCTCTTCTGATGATTTTCTTACACTGCATGTTTTTTTGTTTTTATTTTAAACTTATTTTGCACTCGCAACGCAATGAATCATGCATCGAAGAAGACTAGAGGACTTGCAGCGCGGCTTGGTTAATTACCTGGCGGGTAATGAAACCACGATCGGACCTGGCGAACGGCTCTACGAGTATCTGGAAGAGCCTAGGTAACGGATAGCCCTCAACTGGGGGTGGAATCTTATGCTAGACCAAATGTCCTGCGTATGTTTTTCATACCTCTCATCCCCGCATTGATTTGATCCCTCTGTTCATATGTATCTGGTTCAGGGAAAAATATTTTTGAACAACCCTCTCTATTTTCACGATATTGCAGCGTATCGAACGGCACTGTACAACAATTCGCTTCAAACTGTTATGAAAAAAGGAACATAAAAGCATAGTTTTGTTAGAAAAAAAGCGTGTGTCCTCTCTCGAGTTCTAAACTCTCGAGTTCTAAATTTTATAGAGAGATAATCCATGTTTGCATTTCACGGAGTAATTCGAATATTTTATTTTACAAGATGGAATCGTTGTAGCTACAAACGTATTAAGGATTTCATTTGTATGTGAAATTCTTATAGATAACTAATATGTGAAAGTATCAGAATCTCAGGTATGCATTTTATAAACTATCTAGACTCGTTTTCGATGAGGCGAATTGATCGTGTTTGATAACATCCTTTCACTTCATGTTTATTTTTTTTTCGAAACTAGTCACGTGCCATCTGATACCAATCGAACGTTGCTCTCTCAATTAAATAGCTACCCAGGCATGAATTGCAACACGTCGACCGTCTCAGTGAACGAATTCCTTGAATGTCCTGAATTCTCACATGACAATTCCCGTGTATTCCTCTTGCAACGTCGCACCTCATTCTGACGCTCGCCCCGTTTAATCCACTCGCCCGAGCACGCCCGTTATACTAAACGCACGCCCGCGCCCACTATTGTTACGCACTATTGTCTCTTGTGTTGCGCGGATTGTACGGTTGCTGCATTTGTCCTGACCTGCTTTGCGCGAAACCTGACTTTCCAAACCTTCCATTCTGAGAGCGAGTTTCGTCTTCGTTTTCAGAGGCGATCCAAACTCGATTGGGAGTTTGCGTGAGGATAAGAAAAAAATGTATTCGTTTTTGAAAACAAAAAAACCTGGGAAAGACACCTTTTTTTACCTCTATCCATATAACAGTCGTCGATTTCTAATACGAGATACAACCAATCCTCCAATTAGTTCCCTGCAAATCGATGTAAATACTGATCGTTGCTTCACTCGCGAATTTTCCTCTCGAATTTCATTGGAGCACTCCTTTTTAGCTTTCTATCGAGTACTCGTGCATTTCTCCATTCTTCTACTTCGAGCAGAACGTTATTCCGTTCCATGATTAGCCAGCTATTTTCTTGGGTGCTTCTGTTCGTTCGGTAAACATCGCTTCCTTCTTCTTTTCTAATTTCTTGCTTTTCTAATTCGAACGATGCCATAATGATATCGCTTTTTGCGCTTTTATTTCTCTTGCCATTGTAATGAGTACCTCTTCATTTGCCGGAGGTATGATATTAGCTTGACCGAGATAGGGAATGAATTGCGGAAGGTCTTATCTTTTTCTTCTTTCAAAATAGGTGAACTGTCATGGTTCTTGATTTATTAAATTGTTTCCTTATGTATTATTATATGAGTTACATGCTCTGATATAAAACAATGTTTATTTTAATTTATTATTGAATATTTAGTTAATAATTTTATTTAAAAACTATCTTTTTAGTAAAATTATCTATTATATATTTAATGTACATGAAATAACTCATAAAAATATTTAACTTTTTGTATGTGATTTTTTTATTAAATTATTTATTTATTTTAATTATTTATGATATTACTGAGCTTTGTTAATTTTTTGTTTATTTATATTTATATTTTACTCTCAAATGTTTACGCACAAATTGCTGGTATAACAAACATCGTAATATAATATTTAAAGGAAAAATTGCTAACCGCGACATATTAAGTTTCTCAATTGCCATTTCGAATCATATATAAGATGGAATTTTGAAATAGAATTGTTCATCGCATGTTATATCTCCTTAAATGTACATATCATTTTTAACATTTTCTGCATTTTTGATTGTGAGACAGGTGTCTGTTGCAAACTGGATTGTTAAAGAAAGAATATGATTACTTGGTAATCCGTGGTGTGACAAATGATTGGATATATGTATGTGTTTGAGGATTTAACAAAATAAAGTTATTTCTTTCAAGGAAAAAGTTATCGAACAAGAATCGATATTTCTCAGTCGTGCCACAAATTGCTAAATTAAAATATTCTGTACATTATTCTTCTTATAATTGCGTAAGCATAGCTGTGATTGTAGTTGTAAGATTCGATTAATCACCGTCGAATATTCTCCTCATATTCGATTATGATTGATCGTTTTTTACAATAACTTACAACTACACTTACGCAATTGTAGAATGGGGTTAAAAGATCACGATTACAGATCGAAGCACAAGTTCAATTTTTGATCGCAGGACATTTCAAAGTCCATGGTCCTGGGCGTGTGTGGCGAATCGATGTGAGAGACGAGCGGTAAGGTCCTCGAGGACATCCTTGGCGACCTGCACCGCACATTGCGGAGGAAATACTCGTCTATTGTGGCCCAGACCGACCGAGAACGTCATCCTCGGCGATGACAGTGTCATCCTGCATCTTCAGCAGATTGAGTTTGTCACCGTAAATACGAGCGATCAGGAGACGAAAGATCTGCTGGAGAATGCGAAAGATGTCTTCATCGGTGAGTGTTGAAAAAGTATTAAAAGAAGAAACTATTAGAACATTTACCTAACACGTTGAAGTTATTTTACAGCTCCTTGTCATTAATCACTATAAAAAGCGTAGGGCAAAAACTTTATTAATTTCCTAAAATACTCTTAGTAACGCTTGTCAACCTCTTATATTAACAAATATGATGAAGCATATATAATATGTACCACAAAATACGTACCAGATGCAAGATTACATATTTTACGTATTAAAGTTACACTTTAATACGACTTTGATATATACACCAGTATGTATCAAAGTCATAACTTCTACGTATCGTATTTATGTGTTCTATGTAGAATAGGGAATTACCGAACTTTGCATCTTGTAAATAATTATTCATCATGTTTTGTGTAATTAAGGCCTTTATTCTGTAACTCTTAACGACAGTGCCGTTATATTATTGTTGCACAGATTTTATACATAGTAAAGAAGCTGCAAAGACAATATAACAATACCGACATTGTTGACGGAATCACTGCTTCTTTCTACGTAAAACTCTCTTTAATTGCAGGAAACATTAGGAGTTTGGTCAAGGTGTTGAACGCTAAAAGTCGATCCGGCATCGATTCGTTTATCGTGTATCTGAGCGCTGGCAATGCACGGGGCACCACTTTGACTCTGGATACCGACGAGTCGTATAAGCTGGAACTCACATCGAAAGGGAAGATTCTGGAGGCCAGAATCACGGGGAGGAGCTACTTCGGGGTGCGGCACGGTCTTGAGACCCTTAGCCAGTTGATCTGGTGGGATGAGGCGGCCGGAAAGCAGGGCGCTCTTCGCGTCCTCACGCGAGCCTTCATCGAGGATAAACCCGCATTCTCTTATCGCGGCCTTCTCGTCGATACCGGTAGGCAGTTTTTCCCCGTCGAGGAATTGAAGAGGGTCATCGATGGCATGGCGGCCACAAAACTTAACACGTTACACTGGCATCTCACTGACTCCCAGAGTTTTCCGTTTGACTCAGCGCAGTTCCCAGAGATGGCAAGATGGGGCGCTTACAGTGGCGATCATATTTATACACCTGACGATGTGAAGGACCTAGTTGATTATGCGAGGATACGCGGCGTCAAGATCGTCGTTGAGATCGATTCTCCGGCTCATGCTGGTGCCGGGTGGCAATGGGGTGAGTTCTTCTTCAAATTTTGTAATATTTTTGTAGGCACAGATCAGCATTTTTATTACATTTTTATGATAATCAGGTACGGAACATGGTTTTGGTGAGCTGGCGTTGTGCGTAGATCAACAGCCGTGGTCGTCATATTGTGGCGAGCCAAATTGCGGACAACTGAATCCAATAAATGAACACTCATACAGGATATTGGAGGGCCTGTATCGAGAGTTATTAGATCTTACAGAGGTGCGCGATTTGGTGCATCTCGGTGGCGACGAGGTGAATCTCGAGTGCTGGGCGCAATATGGGAATATCACCCTGGCAATGCAGGCGCAAAACATGACGGATTATCACGCACTTTGGGCGGAATTTGAAACGAAAATGCTGCAGCGTCTGATTCGAGCGAATCACGATAAAGTTCCGAAGGCGGTAATCCTGTGGAGCTCTCCATTAACGAAGAGACCTTACATCATGATGTACTTCGACCCGAAAATTCACGTGATCCAGTCTTGGGGTGGTAGCAATTGGCCAGAAACTCCGGATCTGCTAGAGGACGGCTTCCGGGTGATTCTATCGCACGTAGACGCCTGGTACTTGGACTGTGGCTTCGGTAAGTGGCGAGAGATCGGCGAGGCTGCATGCGGCGAATATCGTACCTGGCAAACCGTCTACAATCATCGTCCGTGGAAGGACTATCCACCACAACAGCAACCTTTGGTGCTCGGTGGTGAGGCGGCGATCTGGAGCGAACAGACCGGTCAGTCGTCCCTGGGACCTCGACTATGGCCTAGGGCGTCGGCGTTCGCTGAACGATTATGGTAAATAATATAATGTAGCAAATATATAATTTTTTTTCTAGTATCATATGTTTTTTCTAGAATGTTACAAGAAAATTTTTTTCCAGGAGTGATCTATCAACCAACACTTACTCCACAGACGAGAACGTTTATACCAGACTAGCCGTGCATGTTGAAGTCCTGAACAGCAGGGGCATCAAAACAGAGTCTATGTGGCCGCAGTGGTGTTCTCAGAATCCCGGGAAATGTCTCTGACCGATCGTTAGAGACTTGCTAATTATGCACCAGCCGTTCCACGAGTACTGTACTTGCGGCACTGATAAACATATAAAAACAGGGATTCACAAAAAGCGGCGTCAGTTGCAAGTCCTGTCGATGGTCGAAATCGATCTCGTCCAACAGGCAATAACATTGCGTATTCGTGATCTATGGGACCTTTCGATGCAAATCCTGCCGACAAAATTGACAATCGTTTCTGCTTGATAAATCACTCGACGTTTTTTTCATTCATAAGAAATGAACATCGAAGGGATCCTTGAGATGTTCGGTAAATAACATCAACGTAGCCAATAACCAAGAAGCTCTCTCTGCGTATGTAATATATATGCAAATATATGATAAAGCTGCGAGATTACAGAGGTGACAGCGGATAAGCCGTGACTTTAAACCAACACACATTAACTTGACGTAAAAGAACGCGTGGCTGGTTACGATTAAATAATTCAAATTTCTCTTGTAAAGAGATTTGAAAGGCTTCACGCAAGCTTAGTTTTATAAGCGTCTACTTAAATCGAATGATTGTAATTAAGTAGAACCGCGGATATTCTATTGACAAAATGTGATTCGGAGTCCGAACTGTATGTCGATCATGAATGTTGCAATTTCCTTGATATCTAGAAAATATCGCTGTTTTATATATCTAATAAATATATATCAAATTTATGAATCATTGCGACAAAATTAATATGTATGTTATGATGTTATTCGTTAAACTGTTTTCGATCTCGAGTTCTACTGCGTTAAAAGTACAAAAATTTCGCGTTCGAGCTTTTCAAAATTTTTTCCAGCGCATACTTTTTAACAAGTAACATATTTTAATCTTTTTTTCGTTTATCGATGTTAAAATTATAAACATTAATCTGTTATACGTTAATTGTTTATCACATTATACTGCATAACGATGCACAATTGAAACAAATTGAGACAATTGTGCATCACATCTTAATATGGGAGATGACGAGGTACTACCTCGATCGAGACTCTAATTAGAGTCTTAGCGAGAAGGAGCCTTTAAAGCGAATGAGAAAAGAAATATGACGCGCAGGAAGCTTATCGCGTTATTTCTCGGATCCCACGAATCGAGGATAGCGAGAGTAGACTAGCTTTATCACTGGAACGCCTCAGCCAGGGGCAATTTTATAGCGCGTAAGTTAGCTTTTTAATGGTCGAGATTACATTATTGAAAGTATAAGTAACAAATAACAAAAAAGGCGTATATGTGTAATTGTGTATATGTGATGGTATGATAATTCTGATGTGACATGAATGTCGAAAGGAGAGAACGAGTGCTGTATATTCGCGACTGATCTATATTATTAAAGATTATCGTGTATAATGACAATGCTTGATATCGGAGAGCTTGAAATTTGCCGATTCGGCGCGCAACGCTAATCGAATTTTTATTTATCGTCAACGCAAAAATGCTCAGGGCAGAGTGCACAATTATTGGATATTGCTTACGCCTGGAGGATAAAAGACATAAAAAAATCTCTTGATTATTTCTTAAATAATACTAATAACTTTATTTTTCAAGAATTGAATTTAATGTATACATTATCATTGAGCGTATATTCTCGCTTTATTAATCATAATCATATTGGCTTAAAATAGAAACAGTCATATCGTACAATAATTTATTTGTATAAAAAATAAGAAAACATAATTTATTTTGAAAAAAAGAGGAATTACATTATGTTATATTATTTTATGTAATCGCCGAGATTTTTCGCGATATAATTTCTAATCAAGTCTTGAGCTAGGAAGATGACGTCCGTATCATCACGAAAAATTAGATTTTATAGAACGTAAAGAGAGAAACTCGCCCAAACATAATAATTCCAATTATAATAATTAAAAAAGATGCACACGGATGTGTCTATAATGAAAAAAAGTCTGATAATAGTTATCAAATGTGTTTTATTTTGCATTGTTATTGGTATATTGTAATATATATTGCCAAATATAATAATAATAACAACCGATCGTTTGAAAATAATTAGAAAAAAGTTAATATTTAGAGAAAATAATATTTAAAATTAGCACTTTGTTTTGATTATATTATAATTGAATATTTGAGCAAAATTATTTTACCAAAGCTTTAGTATTATTTAAGGTTGTGATTTATTATTACCAGACTTTTTTTTCACTATAAGCGACGCAAGTGATCTTGATTAAGAAGTGAATGTGCGTGGAAATTCGCCCCCTTAATCCCTGTACAACGTGGCCTATGAATTATGTAAGAAAACGCAAGTGTACATATTTCGTAACGACGTAGGGAGCAACTTATAATATACATATATAGATAAGCGTGTAGATAGAGGTAAATAGTTAAGATATTTATTAGGTGAACCGATAGACGGTTATGTAGGCGAATGAATAGACATAGGCGAACTGCTCACGAGGGACAATGGGGGCGAAGTTTAGGAGAAGGGATGTTGGAATATCTGTACTTATCGATGCTTACCGATATTGATGGCTGTAAGAGAAGTTAATTCTTTCGTGCATTTGTAGATATGAGATACAAGATCGTGATAATGTTAAAAGGTACTGAATATCAACATTGTCTTAAATTATGATGTCATTTGTAAAGAAGTATTCAAATAATTAATAACAGTAAAGAGGGTGCTTTTGATTGAATTATAAAGTATTAAGTTAGAAAGAAAGTTCATTGTGTTATAAACGTCAAATTCAAGCAGCTATAACTTCGTTAAAAATTAACGAAATTTAAGTTTTGAAAAAGAGTTTTAAAACTTAGATTTTTAAAAAGTTATGCCTTTTGAGTTTTATGAATTTTGTTATTGTTATATTAAAAAAACTACGAATTGGACAACATGAGAAAACTTTCCTTTGGCTTTGTGGGCTCAAAAAATTCTTTCAAAACTTATCGATTTTTTAACAGAAAAAGAAGTCTAAAGTTTTTCTTACAAAATTTTGTTTTCTAAAAATGTTTCTAACAATAAGATTTTCATGTTACATGTAAAAGAACGCTACAAACTTTCGTTTTCACATTCATTAGTATCTAATGTTTAAAAGATTTAAGCAGCTGCTGTTTTCTATTAACTTTCCTATCACTTTACTTAAATATTTTTGTGACATCATACTGTAAGATACTCAACATAAGTATTGAGAATTTTTAAGATTGCAATTTCGAGCACGAATTACTCCTTATTAATCTCAATTATTGAAACAAGGGTTGATAGATGTGCAGGTAAACGTTATGTGTAATGATAACAATTTATCGGATATGTTAAAGAACAAGAATTTTACGGCGATTAGAACAGTGATATTTACGGTACGTATACTTACGTTATGCGACTCTCTTCGGTCCGCAACGATAAATGTATGTAAATAAGACACAATTGTGTGTGTGTGTGTGTATGTGTGTGTATGTGTGTATGTGTGTTTCGATGGTTCTTCGAACTGATGAAGCAGAAAGATATACTCTGTTATGACGTGTCCCTTACACGGATTTAACATAAATGAATTTTGAATACATCACTTCGTTTGCTTTATTTCCTACAAAGTTGTCCTATTTCCTTACTGAATATGCGTTGCATAATTCCCTTTCCATGATAAGTATTTGCCAAAAAGAAAGATCTTAGGAAAATATACTCTCTTTTTTTAGATCAATATTTATGTAATATTTATAAATGTTAAAAAAGTTTTTTCTGAATAATACATCGTAATGGTATAATGCATTAGTACTGATTTTGTCATGTAGTCTTTTCTTACTAAAATTATGAAAATATTAATATATGTTCTTGTTCGTTAAAAATAATCTTGAGATATATATAACCAAATGACAATTTTATTTACTAACGGTTTTATATCAAAACGATAAACTTTGGCTTGTAGCCCTTTTCTTTTTGTACTTTTATATTAATATATATTAATAAATCTGATTCGAAAACGCATCCACTGAGTAGTCTTTGAAAAGTGAATTATTCTATGTTAATTGATAGAGCTATAATGATATTGACATCTGGTTTACGTCGCAAACTATGAATCCTATAATAGTTTGTGCTAATATTGACAATTAACTTGTGATGATTTGAGCTAATATTGACAACAGTCTATCAAAAAGAACTTTCAAAAATTAAATTTTTGATGGATCACGTTCATTAGATAAGTGATTTGTTTGTATTCTCATGAATACGTTGCACAAAGCATGGCAAACACCAGCGATATTTACACACCTGGAAAAATCGAATTGTGACATATAAGAGATGATATATAAAGATGTTCTAATAATTGAACATCTTACAAACATTAGTAACATTATAAAAATTTGAGAACGACACATCAGAGTTTCTGAAATAATAAAAACGAATTTATATACGCAATATGATGATTACATAATTTAATAAATATTAAATTGAATGTTAAATGATATTTAATAATTTATTAGATACATTCTTTTTTTTAGTAAAATTGTATAAAAGTTAGAAATAATTGTGTTGCTTTCTTTTATTTTAAAAATTTATCTCAAATACATTAATTATAAAATTAACACGTTTATATGTTCATTTAAAATTTAAATAATTTAAATTTTATGAGCTAAATAGTATCTAAATCTTTTTTTACCTTTACTAAATTAAATGTTACTTTTTATAATTTTATGTGTATATATATGTAAAATTTAAAAAATAGATATCTCACATCGAGAGATTAGATTACGTTTATTAAATTATGTTACGTACTCATGTCAATTAAAAATCACGAACCTTTGACGTGCAATGAGCACACTTTGCTTGTCGGACAATTCGTTGACTTCCTCTACGTACTCAAGTTTATTTTTGCGTCATTACGAGAGGAAGATCCGGGGTGCGGAAAATCGTGCATATGTGATCGTTCAACGCGCAGTCGCCCGATTTACGTCGATGATTCTCTGTCAAAGTTTCAGATGATCCACGATCACGCGTAGGTGCATATCCTTAGGAAGTTGCATTCCAAACAGTGCTATTGCTAGTAGTTATAGTACTTGAAATAATTGTGATCGTAATAAAATAAAATTTAAGGTAAGAGGTAATGAACATATCGTGCTATTATACACTACTCAACAAAATTAAAGGATCACTTGTTCCACCCTGCAAAAATAGGCAAACTTTGAGATAGAATAACTTCGTCAAAAATCATCGTATCGAGATGTTTAAAAAAGCATTTTAAAGCTTGAAATCTCTACTTTTTAGACCGGTATTCCAAAAAATGGTCTTACTGATATTTCGTAAAGTTACACAAACATTAATAAAAGTGCGTCAAACCTGAAAATTTTATACGACATTTGAGGAGTTTCACGAAGTCAGGTAAAAATTGTGCACAAATGCGGTTTACAGCTTTCGAAAGAGAGAATCTTTACCTTCAATTTGTTTTTTTGTTGAGCTCTGTACGATTTTTTTTCACCGAGTTATTTAACATTTAGGTAAAAATGGCCTTTTTACTTCAACCTTCCTTTAATTTTGTTGAGTAGTGTATATACATATGTATATATATATAAAATTTTAATATTGTATCGTAAATCGACAATTAAAAAATAATTACGATTTATAGAAGAACTATTGATAAGGAAAGGATAAGTATTATTTAGAAGCATTAGTTGAAGCTGTAAAGAGAGAGAGAGAGAGAAAGAGAAACTAGAGTTTAATATCAGCGTAAAATTTTGATTTAAAATTTAAATAATAAAGTATGTCGTTACAAAGAAAATGCGTAGATTATATTATTGTCTTGCATTGTAAATGGAAGGAATAGTGGATAAAAATTTTATTGCGATCGGAGAATAAAAAAAAATAATTATACATGTTTATTCTTCTTATTTCTTTAGCGTTGGGATGAGCGAAGCTGAAGTAGAACGCTTCTTAGCCAATCAAAGACAAAAATGCGAGTTGTTTAAAGGTGGGCTCAAATTCATATATTATTTAAATATCTGTTTTGTTTTAATTAAATATTTAAAAAAATTGTAATTTTTCCAATGTTTTTTGCAAAAAAATCTACATCTCGCGAAAAATTTTTTAATGTCTTAAAAGAATTCAAAAAAATCTTAAATTTCATTAAAAATTGTAAACTATCGATCGGGGTTTACCGGACCCTCGATAGGATGTTCTCTGTATTGAATAAACAATCGTTATTGCATCAACGAGAACGCCTACGCTAGGTATGTCCACATTTGGCAACATGATGTCGGAGGCCACCGGAATCAACTTATTTGAACATAACATCACTGATGAGGAACAATTGGAAAAGTATCGCGGTGTTGTCGAAACCAGTGTCATCATCGAGAGCAACGAAACAGAAATTCGTCAATGTCCGCCGTTCTTCGACGGTTTACTCTGCTGGTCGCGTACTGACGCACCAGGAACAGCCACTTTGCCCTGTCCACCGGCTTCGATTATGGGATACATCGATCTCGCGAACGACAGCTTGAGAAAGCTTGCGGTGGCCAGCAAGGTCTGCTTGGCGAACGGCGAATGGTACAAGAACTCGGACGGCATCTCCTGGAGCAATTACAGCCTGTGCGTGCTGAACAGCACGCGCCATATCGAGAAGAATTACTTACCGTTGTACGAGACACCAGCGGAGTTTGAACTACTAAATGTAAATTATTTGTTGTGGCTATGCTTGATTATCGAAATTGAAATTCTACCCACTTGCTGGGCAGATTTTCTGTGGCATTATAATTTAATAAGCTGCGATTAAATTAATGAACTGGAATTAAAAATTTTTTAAGTTTGATGTTTTTGGATGTTACAAAAAATAAGTAAAATTTAATCATTTGTTAACAAATTATGTTATATTCAAAATATTTATAAAAAAAAAATTTAGGTATATTATATTACATTAAAAATCCTTTAAATTTAATGAGCATTGTGTAATAATTACATATAATTTAATATTTTTTTTACGAGGAAAATATTAAAAGTACAATAGAAGAAACCAGTAATACAAATAATATATTACACCTTGTTTGTTGTTTGCCAATATTAAACAAAAATGCGTTATACTATGTCATTTGTGTCTCTTAAAAGCATCATGAGATATGAGTTATTGTATAGATAATATAGATATTATACTGTACAAATACAATTAATTGTTCTTGCACAACTTTAGATTTTAAATTTGCTGCTACGATTATTATGAATTCAATGTATATAAAACAAAATTGATTTATTTATATAGCTTTTATTATTATGTACTTTTGACAGAAATGGCTACCGATTATCAGAATGATATCACATATTGGATACATTACTTCGTTTAGCACACTAATCGTTGCTATGGTGGTTTTTTCCTTACTTAGGTAAGTACTATGTCTTCCTTATCAGAGCATAGTCGCTATATATATATATCATTTCTTTTCCATTCTATTGAGAGTTTTTCAATTATCGCTAATATGTTTTCCATACTTATGTAGGAAACTCAGGAATCCCAGAAATAGATTGCACATGCACTTATTTGCGTCCTTTATCATGAGAGCTTTTATGGCACTCCTTAAAGATTGGAGTTTCATAGGCGGCATCGGATTAGCCTGGGACGTAGTATTTGTCGATGGAGATAATGCTTTTATTAAGGAGGAAAATGTAAGTAGATCATTGATATAATTATATTCTAATTTTTATTAATTATTCATTTAATTTTTAATGACAGAAATGTAATACTGGTGGCCAATTTAATAACTGAAAAACGGCATAATTAATTATTTATTTAAAGTATTAAAATTCTGTTCAATATTTTTAGTATATCAAAAAGAAAATAATTACTGTCTTTTAATAATAAATTGGCCATTGTTAAATTTTTACGAATATTATTTTGATTTTTATTATTTTAATTTAATTATTATGTATAATTTTGTGCTCAATTTATAACTAATCTTTTGTGTTTATCTAAAAAAAAAACTCTTTGATAATCTCACGAACTATTTTTAAACAAACTATAATTGAAAATAAATTATTGCATTAATCAATTAATTTTTTAATATTTACGTTTGTGGGGAAAAATAATATTCTAATGATCTCTCTGGACTTTTGTTTTCATCTTTACTTAATCAAGTAATCTACTGTATTTTCACTAATCAATGTTTTCAGACTTGGGTCTGCAAAGTTATTACGAGTCTGTGGCAATATTTCATCGTGGCAAACTATTCATGGATCTTGATGGAAGGATTGTATTTGCACAATCTAGTTTTCCTGGCGCTATGTACCGACAGCAGCACAATAGCTCTGTACATTGCACTAGGATGGGGTGAGATAGAACAAACTTATTTGAAACCATTTCAAACGTAAAGCCTTGAATTGCAGTTTACTCAGATTTCATTACATTAAATAGGTCTACCCGTCTTGGTAGTAGTGCCATGGATTGTATTTCGCGCGACTATTGAAGACACTCTCTGTTGGACCACTCATAATAATTCCTCGCTGTTTCTCATCATAAGAATACCAATGATTATATGTATTTTGGTACGTCAATTGCATAACGTAACGGGGATTTGATTGTGTGGATAAACTATCTGCTTATCTCTTTCTTTCAGTTCAATTTTCTACTGTTTCTCAATATTGTTCGCGTCCTGTTGGTGAAGTTGAAGACGTCGGTGCATCTGCAGCGGAAGAAAATGAAATACAAGTTAACAATTAATATAAATAGCTTTATTACAATTTATAAATTTATATTATTTTAATTTAAGATTTTAAATTAATTTTGTTATTTTCGATACGTAAGGACGTTAAATATGGCCTTTCGAAAATTTAGTTAAGCACACGATCTTTGATTAGATGCTATGTGTTTATATTAGTTTTAATTTTTAATTCAGAAGATGGGCAAAATCAACTCTAGTCCTATTACCACTCTTCGGTATACACTACACAATTTTCTTGGGATTATCCTACCACAAGGACTACCGGGTTGAGCTTGTAGGGCTCTTTTGCGATCAACTATTCGCATCCTTCCAGGTACTTAAGATGCGAAGGACCTAACTCTTTTGCATAATTTAAATATTCTCGCACACATTCACTTTACTTATCTTTGTAGGGCGCCTTCGTGGCTTTTCTTTATTGCTTGCTAAACGGCGAAGTCAGAGCAGAAATACGTCGAGTATGGAAGACTCGACGATCAAAAAGGGAGGTCGATTTCTTCATCTCTGGACATACGAAAAATTCAAGAGACGGAATCAATCGAAAACGGCATCGATCAGAGGACGATGATGGTACCAATTTCACGATAACAGCTATGAAAAAATTGCCGGTGGAAAGTATCAAGTAGATTCAATCAGTTGTTTAACCATCAAACAAATTTTATTTATATATAATCTGTTTAAATATCTAAAAATATATGGATTGAATACATGGATTGAAAAAGTAATGGTGAATATATCTGGAAATAAGAAAAATGAAATTATAAAGAGCTAAAGTGTTTTTTATGTTTGCAGAAATTATATACCATAAGTATCTTTAATGTGGATATACATATATTATAAATCTTATTGTGATTTTTTTTCTATGAATATGATGTACTACTTGTCTACGTGTTCGAAATATTTTAGCATATCTTATAAATAAATGTTTCTATGTATATGTCTGTTTGTATGTACAGTATAAGAAATTAGATTAAATATGTATAACGATGAAGAAAAAAGGAATAAATTAAGGAGTGTTCGTATATTTCTACGCAAGATCAAAAAGAATGATTTATTATTTCTAAGAAAATAAAATAGTATAATAAAATAATTTATTCTATGCACGAATAATAATCTTTAGTATAATATTGGATTGTTATTAACATTATTATTAAAGTTTAAATATCTTTTTATTAATTTTCTAAATTTATATAATTAATAATATACATAATTAATAAAATATATAATTAATAACAAACGCTAATAATTGTATATTTGAATTAATAATATATCAAAAATTTAAATAAATTTTTTAAATAAAGGTTCACGCGATAAGTAGTTCTTAACATCATTGTCTTTAAATGTAAATCCATTTAACATTACAAGAACCAACATACATAAATATACAATAGGTTAGTGCATGTATGTTAAATATATAATTTATTCCTTAATATAAAATTTAATAATATTTTATTGATTTGTAATAACTGTGAAGTATTTATAAGAGCATGTGTTTAGCGGAATGAAAGGGGAAAAAGGGTTTCGCGGTCGTGAAAAGAATCGTTATTGTGGTAACGAGGTATGAACTATCTCATGACACCCGAGATGACTGATGGAACACATTAATCGAATGCCTCGAGCAGGGCGTGTGCTTGATTGTTGCGGCGAAGATCGGTCGTGTTCACACATATTATACACGTATGTACTCGCACGCGACACCTCGTCGTAACTTTCGGTTGCACGCGTCAACCCCCGCACGAGCAATTTTCGAGATGAGTGTTGGCCGTTGGATTGGAAGTAGATTAAAGTCCGATTGACCAATTTGCATAATTGCGGGTTCTACGGTTCTATCCCTATAAAGTGGGTGACACCATTCTATTTCTTCTTCGATTGCGACAAATATAAGCCCCATGAAAATAAGACGGAAGAAAGAAATCGACTTTTTGGAATATGCATGAATAAAAAAAAAGTGATAAAAGATAAGATCAAGTTAAATATTTAGCAAAAATATAATTAAGGCAGGCAAACGATATATTTAATTAAAGTAGAAAAATCTCTTATTTTCCTTTAAAGAAAATTCCAAATTTCGTTTCTTGTATAAGTATTCAAATTCTTTTTTTTCTTACTAAAGTATTCGAATTCAATTTCTTTTAAATTTTGCTCTTTTTTTTATAAAATAATTATAATAATTTACAAACTGAACGTTATAGGAATGAACTAATTTTAATACGCGTTTTTTCTTGATTTTAATACATCAAACCGTAATTAAAATTTTCAGACACACTTGTTCACTATTTTAGGAGACGAAAAATTACAGTTGTACGTTACTGTACAAATGAACTGAGTTGATCCTGGTTTTGTATAGAAATATTCTGCGATGAAGATGCGACTGTGATTATTATAGCCGAATGGCGCAGATGTGACGCGCCTGCCACCTGATCCTCCGAGAAAATCTATACTACTCCAAAATGAACCCACTCTCAATTTACTCTCTGCTTTTAGAATACGTTTAAAATAAACATCACAATCTTCTTATTTGAGAAATAAATTCTTTTCTCACGAAAAATAAAATTCTATATAATACAATAATTTTATTTCAGAATCTCTCTTATAGTAACACTAAATATTTTAATTACGCTACAAATCGTTGTTTAGTTGAATATTCGTAGCGTTTTTATGAAACAGCTCTCATTAATAAAATTCAGTTTGACGATAGTATACGACGATAGTATACGACGAGGTATATATTATTGATTTATATCACATTTCACTACGAGTAAGTACTTTTTTTCTAAGAAGAGAACGTAAATATATAATGCAAGAAATGATCAAATTTTTTACTTATTTACATTCGTCCTCGATGTTGCAATATTATCATCCAACGATAGGAATCCAGCGCTACTTTTCCAAAACATTCAGCATCGAATTGAATGATCGATAAAATGGTCCTCGTATCCGGAAGGTTGTGTAAAATACTGTCGCGTGAATTACGAAATGCGGCGGAATGGCGACGTGGCGTCAGGTGTCGGGGCGGGTTCGCAGGGATGTTTCCCGATAGTCGATTGGAGAACGTTCGGGATGCTGTCAGGGATGCTGGGGATGCGAGAGGACAAGGGAGGCTGTGGCGGAATCAAGGGCGTGGTTACGGGAGATGAAAGTCCCTACCCGCCACAGTTCTGTATAGCCAAACTTACCCTTCCCTGTATCAGTTTTTCTGCCAGGGGTGCTGTTGACCATTCTCTCCCGATGATCTCGTCGAAGCCGGGAGATCGAGATGTTGTCAGAAGTGATCTTGTTGCTGCGGATGACAATCGACGTTGATTTAATCGCGATCCGGAGTCGATAAATGAACGGGTGATTTAGAAAAGTGAGAATATTCGGAAGAATCTCTTTCTGTGTTAAGATTGATAGTAAGAGAAAAAGTGGATAAGATGTTGTGTGCGATTGTTTAATTGGTGGAGGAATTAAATTGAGAACGACAGAGAAAAGTGATCCGTTCCAAATCGGATGAGAACAGGCGAGGAAAATCACGGAAACTTGTTTTTTATCTTGGAAAACTATGGTAAGTAAGATAAATAAAAATAAAAATACACGTTAATTATTATTGTTATACAAAAGTAAATAGTCTGTTTAGTGTTTATGCAATCAGAGTAATTTCATACTCTCTGTGAGAAATACCATGTAAAGACTTAAAAATATTAAATTTACTACTTATAATTTACCCATTAAATTAAAAAAATTCTTATATTAATAAATTATCACAAAATTAATTTTTACTTATTTCAACGTGTTATACAAAAGCAAGTTATTCTTATTTAATCTTCTCTTAATAATGAAAATTTTCCATTTGACTTTTATAATTATCATTAACTTTTTCGATATAAATATAGATTAAAATTGAGTTCGTAGGATGTGCATATTTTTACGAAATTGCGAGTTTGCGTAAAATTTTACGGCGTAAAGTCGTAGAAATAAAAAAATCCACAGGGGATCGTATCGATTTGATTGGATAGCAGTGCTATAATAAATATTAAAAGAAGCGCCGAGAAGACTTGTCGCCCGAAATCTGGTTTACTTTAAAATATTAAAGAAAGAATTGGAGAGAAAGAGCATGGTGAATGCTCATACAAATCGTCGGTTTACCATAAGAATCAGATCGGGCAGTAGTCGTTTGGGGTTGCTTTTCGTCAATACTTGATGAAGAACGAGCCATGCAAACTGCGTTTCATTTAATAATGCAACATCTTTCTCATAAATAGACTATTTCAAAACGACTGTTTCGGTGACATGAAGGAATTCCACACAGTATTAGAAATTTATATCTTTCTCATTCGTTTTTCTTTTGCCTATACATGAAAGTGTGAAGCGTTCTTAATGTAATAATCTCTCTTTTTATTGGAGATATTTCTTTATTCTATTTTATGACTATAATTCTGTTACATAAGCTACGTTTGTGTGCTCAACAAATATTTGGTCTTCCAATTATCGCCGATCGAACCCCAATATTCTGGAACGTGGGGTGAATCCTTTTATGTTGCATTTTTTCGTAGCTTTCGCAAATCCCCAAGGTAAATGGTGCGAAAAATTTGATTGTTATTTCGCGTCTTTTTTTTAAAGATCGTATTTATGAAATAAAATATTATAAATATCTAAATATTTATATAAATTAAACTTAGTATATATGTATAGTACCAATTAATCTTTATTTTGCACAGAGAACGTCACGTTGTCACGTATATTTATGGTACATGCAACAAAGTTAAGTTCTTGCAACGTCATCCGCGTTTTTTGTATCCGATCCCCTATTGATTTATCGTAATTATAATTGCAGTTGCGTTCTACGAGAAACAAGATAATAATGCCTTGCGACGTGAATCTACGTCTAGGACGAAGGTGAAGAGATAATTTTTCGCGATAGATCAGACTGATCTTTTTGAAAGGAACATTTACGGAACGCAGAGACACATGAAGAGCTTCAATTGTGATTTCGCGAACGAGGATAGAACGGTTTCCATGGCAAACAGCGGCCACGGGGTCGCCGTTAACGGTGTAGGCGCCCCTGGTTCGGGCACCTTGTCGAGGGAGGAAAGACGCAGACGAAGAAGGGCCACCCAAAAATATCGAACCGCACATGCTACACGGTAAGACTACGATAAGCGCAGCATCGAAGTCTTGCTACAAAGGCAAACGAACTGAAGAAAGAAAATATTGAAATATCGCAAAGGAACCGCTTCGAATACAATTTTTTATTGCATAATCGTAATACTTAAAAAATGATTTTTCAGAATTTTTTTAACAAAATTTAGAAAAATTTATTACTCTAATTAAAGATATTCTTTGATATTTTTTTATCCCTAATTTTTAATTTTTAATAATTTACGCTTCTCTTCTAAATTGGTTAATTATTTGTTAAAGTTTGTTGAAAAACTGTTCTTCATAGATTCTGATAATGGATATAAATCTGCAACATATTTTTTAATTGATATCTAGCGAAGTTTGAGTTAAAAAAAAAGTTTAATCTTATCAGGACGACTTAATTACTTTTACCAATAAAATTCATGTCGGATTTTTATTTAATCAGTATACTTCTTGTGCTTTCATTGACATTATAAACGTTTCGATGTAACGCGCTTCTTCGTATTGTATTGAAAAAATGGAAATTATCTAAAAAAATCTAATTTCAAAGATTCAGTAGCATATTAATATGTTTAAATGTAAAGGAATTCTTTATATGCGAAGAAAGAATTGTTGCTTGAAGTATATAATGTATTTCTCGTTAGGGAAAGAGTCAGAGTGGAGGCGTTCAACTTGGCGTTTGCGGAACTCCGAAAGCTGCTGCCGACATTGCCGCCGGACAAAAAGCTCTCAAAAATTGAAATTCTTCGGCTGGCAATCTGCTATATCGCTTACCTGAATCACGTACTCCAAGCTTGAACTTACGTATTTCAATGAACAGAGATAAAAGACTTAGAAAACTGTGACAATTTCATCATTATCACCATCATCATCATTACAAGCTGATCGGGACGTGAATTGACTATCGATCGTCTTTCTAAACTTTAAGAAACATTATCATGAACGTCATTTATATCTATATTTATCATTTTTTAAATAATTAATAAAATAATTTTTTGGGGGGGAAGTCTTTGAAGTAAATTATTTTTACCATTTTTCGATTTCTGAAAACTAAATCATTTTTGATCGATTAGTACAAACATTTTAAACACTAGATAATACAGGAAATATGTTATTGTTCGATATATTCAATAATTGTTGAAGATATAAGCGTTGCTGAATTGCGTTAGCTGTGCAGAGTTACATCGTTTATCGCGCGATATGTCCGTCGATATTCTCGAATCTATTCGATTCCTGCGGATTAGTAGGCCACTTTGGGACAATGGAGGAGTTTCCCATGGGACTGCTATCCCTCTGCGTTCCTTCAAATTCTCGTACCCTCGATAGTCATCGTCCGGCTGCGTATTCGATCGTTGTCGATTATACGGCGTACGAGCTTAAGTGAAAAAGAATGGAATTGCCGACGAGAAGGCCAACTTCACGGATCGTCGCCTCGCGCCACTCGTTTCCCGGTTCTCTGCAAATACGATTGTGTGACTCGATCTGCTTGGAGATCCGCGCGAGATTGATTGTTCGTGCGAACTAAACTGGCTTTCCTGTGAAAAAAAAAAACGCCAAATTAGAATGGAAGAAACTCATTTCTGTAGAATGGAAGAAACTCATTTCTGAACTAAATACCTAATCTTTAAAAGGTTTTTAAATTGTAGAATCATTACTTTATTTCTATCAGCTCTTTTTAATATTTTTTAACTAATAAGATGACAAGATGATTAATACAAAGAATTGTATTATTTTTATATTACACAAAGTAGAAGTTTTTACTATTTTAATCTCAAATGAGCGAAACAAAATAGAAACATGGACAACATTGAACAAAAATTCAATTTGCAACATTGTTTTTGACGAAATGTGATTTGTTTTTTGAAGATCAAATTGATAATTAGCTAAGCCAATTAGATTTCTTATTTTTATTTTAAAAAAGCACTTTATAGGTAACTTAATAATTATGTGAGTTTATTTTTTATCAAATGCGTAAAGAGATACACGGTACGAAAAAGATATGTAACAATGACAATGTTGATACAAGTAAATTACTTATCATGAAAGAGTTCATTTTTATGTATGTTTAGTTTGCGGGCAAGAAGAAGCGATTGATGAAGCGAATAAGTTAGGCAATTTATTAATTTGTTTGCTATTAACGTGTATTTTATAATTATCAGTTTTATAAATAATTGTCGATTATAATATATAAAATTTCTGCTTTTACCTTAATAATTTATTTATAACACACTGTAAAATATTCTACATGATGCGTATAATCAACAACAGTGTTAATCCAATGCGCCTGTAAAGAGATTTCACGACGAGCGAATTTCTATCATTTCTCTACAAAGTAAAATAGTTAATACTAACTGTATAAATGAAACATGTTCCTTATCTTAAATATTATGGAGAAATTTGATCGCTAACACGCGCACCGAATGACATTGACGCTCTTTATGGTATTCAGTAAGCGCAATGTGTAATTAGTAGATAATCAATATATAAGTTGTGACTGTATTATATATATATATTTAACAAAAAATAAATTAGAAGCCAGAACACAATTCTCATACTTGTCTTTAATTTATCGCAGTCTCTCCTGACTTTTTTTTACGCCTTTACATTTTTCATGAATAATTCTTTCAAGGTAACGTAACGTAAAAAATTATTCTCTAGGGAATATAACAGTTTATTTTTGTAAAGAAAATACCACATTCTGACCGGATATTTCGTCAGTAAATTTTTGAATTTATTAAGCCAGATGTAATGCGTAAGTCTATTGATCGTCTTCATTTGCACATCTGTGTGCATCTGTACTTAGTAATGACTATGCGTGATTTTTCTTAAATTCAGTAATGTGTTGTTGCAGATCCTGGATAGCATATTGTAATGTTAATTGCATTAAGGTAATAAAAAGCGATCCCTACGCGCATGTTTATATAATAAATTACTTATTGCTTTACGGGCAGAACCTTTCTACATACTATATGATCGTTTTTAAAGACCACTGTGGAGGTTAAATTGCGCGTTCGATTAGAATATCCATGTTCTTCATAATTGTTTATGTATATGTTCCTTCGTTATCAAAGATAGATCATTAACTTGCGCACTACAAGAAACCAAGTAGAACGAGTAGAGCGAAGAAAGACAAAGGATCGCGCTATTGTCTCATGTAACATAATTATCAACTAATCTTGTGTAAATTGTGAACTATATACAAAATTGAGTAATTTTTACATGTACGTGATATTATGAGTGTTGGTACTATTTAATGCATTTTAATTATATATAACAAGTAGTTAATTTGCATTGTTGGAATTAATACTCTCTTGTAGTTGAAAAATCTGCAAGAAGCTATGGAAAAAAATATTGCTTTACTTGCGATATTTTTAGATATTTGATTAACTAAAGACTAAAAGCAAAGACATTTGGAGTAAATAACAGTTGGAGGAACACAGTGTGAAAAAAAAAAGAGATCTGACGAGATGAAGCTGTTTGTGCGTCCAAAATGCTTCTCCGAAGCAATAGCATTAGTAACAAATCTCAATTACTTATTGGGACTTCGTATTTTTGAGTATCCTTGTGGTCATCCAAGACCTATACTCAGCTTGATCTATTTTTCGTTTATATATGTTATATATTACTGTGGCTCGTTACGTATGGAAGAAAAATATTATTCAAACGTTAAACTGATGAAGCTAGAGTACTTTCTATACAAAATATTGTCGTACGTCATTATTATGTCTGTTTTACTCAAGATGCTATTGGGCTGGTGGCACACGAAGGTGGGTGAACGAAATATTATAATACACATAGGTGTCTTATAAGCAGTTGTTATACCACTTAGGTACTTATGATTTCATGATATAATCTTTATAATATATGTATTTAAGATAAAATAATTTTAAGATATACATATATATGTAAGTTATAATATTCTTTTATTGTTAATTGATATATATAGCAATTCAAAGTTTGTCACAAAAAGATCTTCGAGATCGACGAAACATTGCGACAACTTGGATTTTCAACAAATTATGACCGTACATATTTCATGACAATCGGAGTGATAACTGTTTGGATTATAAGCTCTTTCATTTTGTCCGTCGTATCTTTCAATCACTTAAAAATACGCACAGGCATATTTACTTCAATTTATATTATATTAGTTTGTATGTATTCGTTTACTGTCAACTCTATTAATATTTATGAATTCTACCTATTTGTAAGGTACGTTAACTGACTTTCTAAATAATTCAAAAATTTAATTTATGTATATATTTATTAAATCTTCTCGCCAATTACTATATAAAAAATTAATAATATCTATTGGTTCTGCTTAACATAACTTATATATTGTATGTGATGTTGATAATATTACACAGATCTCCATTAAAAGACCTCTATACATTGACGTAAATATTCTCACGAAAATTAAATTAAAAAATAGTTTTATTAAACAATAGTGTTTACTTTTATAACAGTTTAGAATATTTTGTTTGTCTTCCGTCTTCTTTATGGGTTTCATTATCGTCACTTTCATAAAATGCAATAAATTGAAGATCTGGTGTACGTATGGCCTAAGGCCGTATATATTAATTGCGTTAATTTTTTCTTTTTGTGTGTAATTTTATTGTGTGTAATTTTATTTTGTAACATTAGCCAACGGATTCTAATTTAACATGCTGTTACAATACGCAGGTGCTTACAAGTAAAATTTAAATTAATCAACCGATTATTGTGTGAGAGCTTAACAGACTTATCAACAAATAAGATAAAATTAGGCATTTTTGAATTAAAAGATTATGTCAAAATTATGGATGCTGAACAACAGAAGCATTCTTTTTTCTTGAGCATGATATTTCGACGGCATCGGCGGCTGCAGTCTCGAATAAATGTTTCAGAGATAATGAAGCAAGATCAGGTCATTTCTCATATTAAATCACACTTTCCATCCCAATTTGAAAACCAGTTTCATAATAAACTCAAAAATCAATCTCAAAGGTGCAATCCTTTGATAATAAAATCTTCAAAACGTAAACATCTGTTACAAATAATCAAGTGAGTATCAAGACTTATGAAGTACATTGTTATAAAATAAAAATCCTATAAAAAATATATACTTAAAACAAACATAGTGCATTTAATTTTATGACTATTTCCGAAATAAAAATCGATTCAAAATCCGATTCATCAATTTTACCATTATTAAGATATTTATAATATATATATATATATATATATATATATATAGTAATTTTCTTCTTAACGCTTGGCATATTTAAGATCTTTAAAAGCTTTTCTTTTTGAAGAAAAAAATTTTTTCTTTATTTGAAAATATTTCTGATCTCTCTCATCTTTGATTTCGTTTTTAAGACAAGTACACCTGGAGTTGTGCAAAGTATCGAAAATAGTACGCACTATCCTTGGAGTACAGGTAGCTTGGGAAATGGGAGTAGTTGTCGTGTATTTGTCTGGAGCTTTTTATAATTTATTTGTTCGATACGTTATGTGGCAGCACAAAGTTAAAAGTGTGGCAGAACAGACAGCTTTGACGTTATCAATGTCTTTTCTGTGCATTTTGAAAGTCATTTTTGTGAATCGTATTTGCAAGATTGCGGCTGATGAAGTAATTTTTCTCATCTATCATTATCTGTAATTAGAGGTTTCATAATTAAGCTAACACTTATTTGTAGGGAAATCGGACCATCGAAATAATTCATGCAATTTATGGATGCGACGCAAATATTGATATGCGGGAGGAGGTTAGTTTATTGTTATATTATTAGAAATATTTACTCGCAAAAAGAGAAATG